GCTGTGTATTAACCTGACTTCTGCACAACACAACTGATGGTCCCAACCCCATTGATAAAGCAAGAAATTCCACTAATTAACCCTGATAAGGCACACCTGTGAAGTGGAAACCATTTCAGGTGACTACCTCTTGAAGCTCATGGAGAGAATGCCAAGAGTGTGCAAAGCAGTAATCAGAGCAAAGGGTGGCTATTTTGACAAACAAAAGTTTTAGGCAGGTTTGAAGAAATGCTGTAATGTAAGAAAGCTTTCGAAAATATAAAGTTTAACAGTTTATTTTTATGGACTTACAGAGTGAGCGAACAGAAGAAAAATCTAAATCAAATCAATATTCGGTGTGACCACCCTTTGCCTTTCTTCTAGGTACACCTGCACACAGTCATGAATTTTGTGGTATCATAGTCGGGTGTATGATTAACCAGTCATACCACACAGGTGCTGATGATCAATTTAATATGTAGGTTGAAACACAGTTTTTCAGTGAAACAGAAACAGCTGTGTAAGAGGCTTAAAACTCAGTGAGGAACAGCCAAACTCTGCTGCCAGGTAGAGGTTGTGGAAGATAGTTTGATGTCACAGGTCATACACCATGACAAGACTGAGCACAGCAACAAGGCACAAGGTCGTTATACTGCATGAGCAGGGTCTCTCCCAGGCAAAGAGCTTCATCATGTGCTGTTCAAGCTCTTTAAGAGGCAAAAACAAACAGGCAATGTTGAGGACCGTAGAGGCAGTGGTCGGCCAAGGAAACTTAGTGCAGCAGATGAAAGACACATAATGCTTACAATGTCCAGCAGTGCCATCAGCTCAGAACTAGCAGAAACCAGTGGGACCCAGGTACACCCATCTACTGTCCGCAGAAGTCTGGACAGAAGTGGTCCTCATGGAGGAATTGTGGCCAAAAGCCAAACCTTTGACATGGAAACAAGACCAAGTGACTCAACTATGCATGAAAACACAGGAACTGGGGTGCAGAAAAACAGCAGCAGGTGCTCTGGACTGATGAGTCAAAATGTGAAACATCTGGCTGTAGCAGAAGGCAGTTTGTTCACTGAAGGGCGGGAGAGTAGTACCGCACTTCTAGTTGTTCACAGCCAACATCTGAAAGTTTGGGAGGACACACCAAATTTGATTTTGCTAAGAGTTTAGTGTCCCCAGCTACTGCTGTCCACATGTTAAAGTGTCCTAGAAGAGGACATGGATCCCCAAACTGCACTTGGGGCTCCAACCTTTGGTGAATGAGTGCAAATAGTGTTTTGGAAAGCCATTTTATGAGGTGCTGTCTAACTGTTCATTTTCCTCAGGGGTTCTGATGGTGGACAAAACCGGCACTGGAGTCTGGCTCTTACACAGCACACCACAGTTCCCTTTCAGAAGAGATCCCACTCATTTCTGGCCTGACACTGGAGCGAGGAATGCTCAGACGTTTATTTGTGTAACATTCAGCTACGACAAGTTCAGCATCATAGGTAATGAGCTCAGTTAAAATACACCTTAAATGTGAAGATTAAAGCCTTGAGTCCAGTTCAGACAAAAGATTCCCAACAAGACCAGTTTAAACCTGCACCTACTTGCAATGCGCCGTTCTGCAACGTTTTGAAAACCTGCCAGCCGACACTAATGCAACTCAATGAGACGGTGTTTTGTTTCAATAGCAACGGCTCTTTGTACCTCTGAAGTAATGCCCAACTGTTCAAGCTTATTTTGTAGCTGAATGCAATTTGTTTGCTAAAATCTGATTGAGGATAGTGACAGTGAGACACTGGCTACAGTTACATTTGTGATGAGCTTCAGATGGATGGTAGTCATGACATATATGCCACAATAATCTCAATGACCATTAATCAGTCAATGAGTACATGTGTGTGACATGCGCACGTACAGTGAGCAACAGCATCAAACCACCATCTGACACCCACACACCGTGAGGACGGAGACCAACATACATGTCAACAGCCGCCGGGATGTAAATGAGACGGACTCAGGCTCAGCTAATGCTGGATTCACACTACACAACATTTGTGTCCATTCTGACAGTCAGTGTCAGATGAGGCGATTATGGAGTCATAAAATTGTGCTGTGACTTGGCCCGCTGACATGACAGACTACACGTTGGTCCACGACCGATCATTTTTGGTCATCTTTCATGGTCATCATTCTTGCCCTGTTTTTATTATTATTACTGTTATTATCTCAGTCACTGTGTCTGTTCATGTTCCAGCTGATCTGTTACTGTAGTAACATAAAAAAAAAAAAAAAACGCCACCAGATGGGCAGAGCTACATTTGAAGTACCGCATGCAAACTATGACAGTCACTGAATCCTCCACAGGAAGTTCCTGCAAATGTTTCACAATAAAAGCCTTTTTAGAAAATGAAGAGATTCTCTCAGCTGAAATGAAAACAGAAACAGGAAGTGTTGAGTTTGAAATGACGGCTTGATGCATTAAATGTAACAGGATTTAAACTAAACCAGAAAGATAAATGGTGTGGTGTGTTTGAGATGCAGCTGGTAGCCTCTGCAGCTGTGCTGAGTAAAGACCCAGACACTATCCATGAGTTTGATTCCTTTATATCCTCCATTATGAAGAAAGAACATTCTTTGCTAGCTTGATGCTAATGGCAGTACTCAGCGGGTTGATAAAGTGCCTCTGCTGTTTCCTTTTTACTCTGTGTGCTAACGTCCCTACAGGAAATATCTGAAAGGCTGGGCTGTTGTTGTCCTACAGTTTCCATGGCAACAGATTGCTCTGTGTTCCTGTTGGTCAAAGTGATGGCTGTGACGGGAGAAGTCGTGGAAGACAAAAAGAAAAATCAAACGTCATGACTTTCTGTCAGGATGTCCCAGGCGTAGTGACGGTTGTCATCTACTATGACACACTACATGAGATAAAACGATGGATTATCGCACGCGACACTTACTGTCATTCATGATTCAAGCCGACACCGTACGACGCTGTGGCGGGCTGTGATCGGGCTGATATTGTGTAGTCTGAACCCGACATAACACACCCTCTGCTGACATTTTGTAACTGACTTGACCAGCTGATCTATTTACAAGCTGATTGGCTGCTGAAGGTGACGTGTCTTACATTTTAAAACCAGCCCCTGGAAACTTGACAAGCTGAGTTGCAGGTGACACCATCAGCCGGCTTGAGTCGAGCTCAGACAGGAGAGTTCAGAGTTCACACCACTGCAACTTATCGGCAACTTTTATCTCATTGTAAATCTTGTCTGAACTGGGCTTTAGTGGTTCACCTGCATGTTACTGTAAATGTGTCATCTATGATTATCAGGTCATCATCTGCAGTACATCGGAGCTTTCCCATTTGAACATGACATTCCAGAAGACTTTCATAAAGAACTTAGGGATGCTGCTAACCAGGTCCAACTTCCCCCATCAAATAACTTCCAGACGCTGAGATCAAATGGAGGTCATGATTTTTATAGCATTGCTAAACAACAGAACCAACAGACAAAAGGTAAGATGTCTGCATGTTCGATATAATCACCTAATGTAGTAGATAAAATGTTGCTAAGCAAAGTTAAATATATTCCTACGCTTTAACGTGACCTTATGGTCATATACAGAGGTTAAATGTTTAACATCAGATATTAGCATCATTACTTATAATCTGTGACTCCAACCTTTACGTCTCAGGCTGGCCAAATCTGTAGCATCTTTTAACGGGATAGTTTGGAATTTTTTAAAGTTGGGCTGTATGAGGTAAATATTTATAGTCAGTGTACTTCATAGAGTAGATGGCAGCTGGTGTGCTACCTGTTTGGAGGAGCAGTGACAGTACCTCCACAGAAGCTCAGCAATGTGCAGCTGTGGATGGGGGCAGCAGCAGAACAGCATTTTAGCCACTTTTAACAATCATAATCAGTCCAAGTGGACGCCATGTTTACAATACGTTCACCGCTTCAACCTGTCAGGCAGCCCTGTCCTTTGGCACTACACTTTCTCAACTGTAGAACTTCTGTACTCCTACACATGTGCCACATACTGTCAGACCTTTGTCACACAAAGGTTTCACATAGCGCTGCATCTCTGCGGGTTGTTAGGACAGTCCAGTACAAAACAATGCAATCAAACTGATAGTAGCTGACCCTCGCTCGCATCGTATCCAGTTAGGGCACTGTGTAACATGGCTCCTGGTTTCTTCTTCTTGCAGCTGGAGATCTTTACGTAACTATTGTAAAAGAAGTCAACAGCGATCTGCATGTTCAGACCTGGGGCTGCCAGCAAGGCCGTTCTAGATCCTACTGTGTACCAGGCAAACATAAAGTGCTAAATATTGAATCTATAAGAACTGATTTGGGTGACTGGAAGATCACACGTGATCATTCAAAGTGGTGTGTAGCTAAAGATCAAAATAAGCATTGGACCTGTATTGCTGATGTAAACAGGGCGCCAACACAGTACTTAAGACGTGGGGGTGCACTGTGCATTCAGAATGAACGAATACAAAAAATATTTCTGCATTTTGCTGGGACCAGTGAGGGCTGTCCAACTCAGAACAGTATGGACCTCACAAACTCTGACTGTGAGCCAGACCCTATCATTCTTACTGACCATTTAATGGGCTAAGTAAAGGTCCCCTGTCAAACACTGACTGCAATGACATGAATTCTTCTTCTTCTTCTTCTTCTGTTTTTTTCAAAAACTGTAAAACTTCTTAAACCTATCTCCTCCCACAATTTTTGCTCAATTGACACCAAACTTGCTACAGAGCATCTTCAGACTGTCCTACACAAACTACGTTTCTCAGATTTTTGATTTATCAAAAATTGAGCCTACAGTGCATCAAAATGTTTGACTGTAAACGGTACTGTAAACATATACATGCAAATTCTTGCTAAATAAATCTTCAATGTTCATGAAAAAATGACAAAATTCTAGAGTCATGGTAGATGATGTGTGGCAAATATCAGAAATTTATCTCAAAAACTGAATTTTTGACAGCATTTTGAATTTTGCTCTAATGTGAACAATTGGAGTCAATGTAAAAATGGCAATTTTAAACATCAGTTTTTCACTTATGGAGCAAATCAATCATTGTTACAAACAAATTACCAACATCTCCATGCTGTCTAGATGCAATATGTGTATTTTCAGATTTTTGTTTCGATAACTGAATTTTTTACAGTGGTTTCAAATCTGCCTTTCCATGCATGTATGGCTGCTTTCCTACACAACAGTGAATGGCTTACTCAATTTGTGAAGCCACTGTTGAGATGCTACTTGCCAATTAGCTCAGAGCGGTAGATGACCGTCTTAGGTTCCTGAGGTTGCGGATTCGAGCCTCAACTGGTGCAGAATCCACATTGTAATGTAATCATCTTCTTGTGCTCCAGCTTATTGCTTAAAATTGCCTGAGTGTGACTGATCACTGTGCAGCATCTTCAAGTCTTTTTTTCTGTTAGAAAATCTGCCTTCTCATGCTTGAAAATAAACCAAACTTTGCACAAAGATCCAGTGTCAATACTTCAGTGTGAAACCATCTGAAGCTTCTCACTTTGCACATAGCTCAACTAGTTAAACATCAGTTTTTCACTTATGAAGCAAATCAATCATTGTTAAAATAAATTCCATACATGGACGGCTGCTAAACCTGCACGTCTGGCTTAGTCAATTTGTGAAGCTACACATGAATTGTCTCTGACTAATTAGCTCAGTGAGATAGAAATTGATTCTTAGTCTCAGAGGTTGTGAGTTCAAGCCTCAGCTGATGCAAAAGGTAGATTGTGTTGCTAGATTCCTAAATGTCTTCCAAGTCTTCTGCTTGTTGCTCAGAATTGCCTAAAAATGCCCGGACCCGACCCATCGCTGCGCAGCAGCTTGGATGTCTCAAATGAAAATGTTGAAAATACGACCAAGCCAGCTGCAAGTGAAGGCAGCACGTGTCTCAGCATTTCAGAATGAAATGAACTTACCTTTAGCAGGAAGTAAAATTTCACAGTATATCATAATAAATATTCACTGCAACAAAGCACATCAAATAAATCTACATTTTCAAACAGTGGTGGTTATCACACGTCATAAAACAGGTGTAAGTGGGGACATTTAGTACTCCTACACACCACCTGGATAAATACACCAGTGTTATCAAAACTTAAAGTTCTTAAATGAAAATGCAAATTGTGTGCTCGACATTCAATGTTGAAAATACGACCAAAATAGAAAACAATTAGTACCTTACCTGACATGTGATCAGTAACATATCAATAATATTCATTAATTGTTGTGATAGTAATTTGTTTTATTGAATGTCTTGTTTTGTTTTTCTAAAATAATGGATTTGTTATTGTAATATTTTTTGATATCTTGTTTCTGTTTTGTCCATGTGTTTTTGAAGCTTTTGGGATCATCTGCTTTAATGTGAACTGCCAGTATATTTTCTTTTATTGATTTGTTTTGTTGATTTTGTTTCTTCTTTATATTGATTGGATTTATTAAAATGTGTTTATGTGCCACTTTGTTTTGTTGACGTGTTTTATGGAATCAACGTCTGTGCTGTTGATAATAAAGGAAGTTTTCTGTTCTGTTAACTTGGTAATGTGTTATTCTCAAAAGGTATTATAAAGCTCACTGTCAGAGCACAAGTTTAAATACTTACTAAATACTTTCAACCCGAAAAGTCCCCCAGATGGGGGACTTTGAGAGCGACTTTGCAAGCACAATGTGAAACAATGCACTGATCAGGAAGAATATAGTGATGTTGCACATCAAATTAAACAGCAGAACCTGGGCTACACGGCTGTAAAAACCCTTTTTACAAGCCCCAAACACAGCTCAAACAACAACTAAATAAACAACAACAAACCCAACTCCATACAGCACCGATATCCCGACCCACTCGGTATATTTCGGGCTCTAACTTGACCACATGTTACTCAAAACACACACCGTTCATCTCAAATGAAAGCTGAGACTCCACTGTGTCCACAAATATGCACCAAATCACTCTACCACAAACCATCAGAGAGTACAGGCCAAAGAACAACAACAACAGAAATCATTTCGCCAAAATATATTCGTAATACCTCTTTTACCTTGTTGCTGGTGTTGATTCACGCTGCATTACTGTATTACCGGATGTGGTCCGTCATTCAAATGAGTCTGGGCAGAAAAACTTGTTCCTTGGGAACAAAAACAATGACCACTCACAGCAGCCAACATCTCCCCACAATGCGTTCTGCTGACTCTGATTGGCTTACAGTGCTGTCAATCTCGTTATGGTGGTGTCAATCACTCAAATCGTCCAAGCTGTCGCGGAGATACGGGCCTCCAAAGCTCAGAATAGAAACTCAAATGTTCAAATGTAGTAGGTGCATATTGGTCAGTTTGGAGTGGGAAATAGAGGAAAAAAACAAAACAGACAGTTGTATGTGTATACCCTGAACATCAGTAGGGATTTACAGAAACAAAACATGAAAGATATAGGATTGTACGTGACAAAAATCACATGCAAACATGGAGCAATTTTGGAGAGCTCGCCTGAATTTTCTGTACTAAAACCTCTCTAATATTGTTCTGCTTCACTTTATCAGAATCAACCTTTGCAGAGTTAATGTTCACATATTGTACTATGATGTGATAGAGGTTTAGAGCTGCAGCTGCATCATTCCAAAGGGAAACTCATCCTGAAAATGCTTCTTTTGTTTTTTAGGCGAACCTCAAAATATTTCATTTGTGCTGTGTGCCATCTTCATTTACTCTTCACATATAACACATATACTGATATTTATACATCTTAACAAATCTCACAAGTGTTCCCTTTACCATGACACCACAAGTATTCAAATAGACCTTGTGGTTGAAGAGATATATTCATTTCATTATGGATATGCAATTTTCGAGCAGAGGTCTATAAAATAGGGTTAGGGTTTAAAATACTTTTTCCCAAATAATCACGCCTAGCTAAGCACCATTAGCCAACTAGGGCTACTTAACGAGAAAGAGTCATTGAAAAAAACATTAAATTACCACTTACTACCTATTCCAGTCTAAATACCATATGACGTATACTCACCTACCTTAACAGGACGTAGCAGGATAGTTAGCCAACTACTCTAACAACTGCTAACAAACTCCTTCTGGCTGTCTACACAAACTAAACCAAGCTATCTACATTTATCCCACTAACAAAGTTACATGCTCATGTTAACGCTAACTTTGCTCACCAGGTCAGACTAACAAGCCCTAGCTAACTTTACAATACCTTGTCTAAACACCCACATCATTTCTCCTGGCTTACTATCATACTACTTCCTACCTACTCAACACCTGACTACCTCAGTTCAGTGTTCACTTTCCCCTAGCTAACACCACCTGGATAAATACTACTTCAGGAGTACAATCACTGCAGTGCTACAGTCTCAAAACATAAAGGTAAACTGGTGTACTGGTACAAGTGGGACTGTGTTGACTGTGTTCATGAGAACAGTCCATTTGAACCACACACTGAGGTGGAATAAATCACTTTGTAAGTGGACACTTTGTGAAATGTCCAAGTTCACAAACTGTGACGTATGTTGATGCTGAACTTACCTTTAAATTCTTTCTTTGGTGTCAGTCGCTCAGCATCAGTGTTCTTGTTACTTGGACGTCTCAAATGAAAAAGTTGAAAATACGACCAAACCAGCTGCAAGTGAAGGCAGCACGTGAAGACGTCCTCAGGTGATGACGAAAACGTCCTCAGGCAGGCCCGGACTGGCCCACGGTAGAACCGGGTGTTCCCCGGTGGCCTGGCCCCCAAACGGCCTGCTCTGGCCTGCCTGTCTTTTTTTTTTTTTCTCTCAAGGTGCGCTCTGCAGCGCAGGTGGCCGTGCCAGCTGGCAGAAATGATAGGTGCTTGTCAGTATTTGTCACAGCGATTGGTCAAAAAGGGTTTTTTGTAGATTCAAGACCTGATTAGTTTGTTTCGCTTTCCGCCCGCGCCCAGATCATCGCGCCTGTAAACTGAAAGCAGCTTGGTTGTGGAGAGTCAGGTGGAGCAGAGAGCAGAGGGTGTGTACCTGTGCCTGTGTGTGCAGACTGTGCAGTAGGAGCTCTGCAGCTCAGCAGCGCTGTTACAGTGGACCGCAAAAGAGGAAAGGTGGAGCTGAACGGGAGAGAGATAAAAAACAAAACAGGGCCATTGAGGAGGAGGCGGCCAAATGTCATAAACTTACAGATACGGCCTGAATTTGTCCCAGTCCGGCCCTGTCCTCAGGTGATGATGAAGACGTCCTCAGTTGATGATGAAGACGTCCTCAGGTGATGATGAAGACCTCCTCAGGTGATGATGAAGACCTCCTCAGGTGATGAAGACGTCCTCCAGCTTCAGTTTTTGGATGCATCAGTTTCTTATACGTTTGTATTGATATTTTCTAACAACTGTTCATCTTTTCTGTTTAAATAAAGTTTAACATTATTATAAGTTTCTAATCATCTGTTTTTCTGATGTACGGCTGGCGCCACCTGCTGGCCTAAAGGACACATCACTGCTGGTTTGTCTTCTCTCAAATAAAAACTGCGTGGTTATTAATTCATTCACTCATTTTGACCCAGTTTTAAATAATAAAACATCATTAACATAACTACTA